ATCAATTTTTTTATGGTTGTTAATTAAATTAATGCCTTTATTCCCCCCCCCCCCCCTTTTTTTTTTCTCTCCCCACCCACCCACACATTCTTTGATTTGAAAATAACCGAAGAAGTATGGAATATCACCACAGTTAGTGTAAGTCAACATTCCATTGAAACGTGAATTTGGAAGATAATATTGATATATAACAACCCTATGATGTATAAAAATGAGGAATTTTCATGGTCGTATAAAAAATACCAGGGAGAGAAATTTCCTAACCTCAATAAGCTTCACATCAATATGGTCTCCAACTTTGAAAGCCTGCAAGGACGTAACTAAAGGATATAACAATCTACCATAACCTCCACAAATCACTTGAAAGAACAAAGGGCTAATGTGCTTACATCTTCTGCCTTCGCCAGCCAATCTGGGCTCAGCTCACTTATATGGCAAAGTCCCTGGAATGAAATTGAAACTTTATGATAACTTGTACAATTTTCCATTTATATTTATACTCTCTTCTCAAAAACAGCTCTTATGTAAAAGTGAGCTAATCAAGAAAGGTTTCCAAAAGGAAGTTTGCAGTTAAATCGATTCCATTTAGAAATAAATAATACTAGATTTATTTGGAAATGCTGACAGCATTTGTTCTTTGTGCAACTTGGGATTGAATATATATACCTCTCGGCCAGGCGCTATCTCAACAAACACTCCATAAGGAGCAATGGATTTAACCTCGCAATTCCTGATTGGAAAAACACAAGTGTGTCAGACAAAATTCTAGAACTTCAGTAGATTGACCATGCTACCAGCACACAGAAAAAGATTACAACTCTGAAGAACACCAAACAATATGCCCCTAAACATAAAATTAAGTTTCCAACATCTCAACATAGACAAATTACCCATACAATTCAAAATGTTCAACCACCAGTAACAGCAAGGGAATGAAAATCCAGATGGACACAGGACTGACACTAGAAAATTACTCTTATGAGCAAATGTGCTGCACATCTTTAACATAGTGAGTTACTGTTTTCCAAACACGATAATATTTTTAAAAGGAAAGATTCTAATAAATTATCCTGTTTGATAATAATGTATGTACATAAGGGACCATTGCGTAGTAAGGTGATAAGTTAACAGTATTGGACTAATAACCAGAAATGTCATGCATGCTTCCAAACTTGAGGGCAATGATGTTGTACAAATAATGTCATACATTAGGCATGTATCTGGTTCATGCCTCCCAGTACCCTAGACTAATGAGGTCCACACTGGTAATAAACATTTATGTTCATTTAGCTGCAGCTGAAAAGATCAAAGGTGACCTATATATATCACCAACAGTTGGAACCATCGTCAGATTACTAATGATGGCTTTAGACTTTTCCAGGCTTGACAAATCTTTTGCAGTTATTTTCACCTGCAACAGCCAGAGTGCAAGATTTTAAGATTGTATCTGTGTAATGATAATGACCAAGAAAGATGTAAAAAATAAGGTCCTTGTCTTGGCTTACCATTCCATTGTCTTGTGTGTCAATAGCATCTACCCCCGTTTCTTCAATAATACTCTTCACCTTTTTCCCACCAGAACCTATTATAAGATTAATTTTCTCTGGTTTGACCTACAGAACACCAAGGTCAAGAGCACATTGAATACTCCACTTGCTAAGTAAAGCAATAAAATAAATATGTGAAAGATAAACCAACCTTCATAACATGAATCAAAGGAGCATATTTAGAAAGACTTTTTGAAGGAGGAGGCAAGCATTTTGACATCTCATCTGAAGAAGTAGACAAATGAGGAGCTTTGCCCTTGAAATAACAGAACCACTACATAAATAGTACACAAAAGGATTCCTATGTAGAACAAAACCTAAATCGCCACTTTAATATCGGAATCCACAGTCCTATCAACTTGTGGGAAAAAACTGATAACCATAAGCAAAACATACCCTCTAAATTGGGGAGATATTTAAAAAACATGGACTGGAGATGAGTTTGTAGGATTCACAATGAATACAAAATAGGGCTAAAATCCAGAACACAAATAATATAATGGTAAAAAATGAAGCCAAGCATGTTATTGTAGAAACAAAAGACTCTTGATTCAAAGATACCTATCAGTGTCATGCCCTGAAATGGATAACCACTTCACACAAAGTCACTCTCCAAAGTTTAGTTAAGGACACAAAGCTATGCAAAGATCAAGCTAGTGAATGAATATACTAAACTTACTCATAAATAAACGTAAATAAAATTAAGGAGAAGCAAAATGAAAAATATTATAACTTGACATGTGTATGGGTGGGTATCTCCTCATAGATGTTTTTATGATTCTTTTATTTCTTGTGTGCCTAACATTCCAGATTTCTATAAAATGATCGTTATAATGGTGATGAAATTTGAGAAATTAGAAATGGATGAATATCGAGATAACTGTCATAATTCTCATATTGAGAGATTTATGTGTATTTGAGATTAAATTGACCATTGCAACTTTATTGAGAAAATTAGTGCTCTAAAATTTTACTCAGATGTTGATTGTTGATATTTTCCGCAAATAATGGCATGACCAGATCTTCTAGTCCTTTTATTTTCTACTCTTCATGATCTGGTAGAGGGATAAAGTAAGAGTGACAAATGGATCTTTGTCCTCTATTTCTAGAAAATGTTCAATTAATTACTTTTCATCAATGTCCCTCGCATCTGCCCTTCACGTTCTTAATTTCTCTACTAATTTACTATCTATTACACAATCCTTAAATTGTTCAGTGACATACTTCCCTACTTATTGTATCTTTCAAGAACTGTAGACAAAGAGACTAATTCGCAATGGTAGAGCACATGGTTGTCTGTACCTTTTGAATATTGAAGCCTCTTCTCACTCTACCGGCCAAGCTCTACGGGCAAATGGTGTTTCAGTTCTTACATCAGTAGCACAGATATTTAGGCCATCTTTCTTTTGGTGTTTAAGAAAAAATCTTTCCCAAGTATAATAGGAATATTTTAGTCCATGATGCTTGTGAATTTTCCCAACATAAATGCTCATCTTATCCTAGAAATAATAATTGAAGCATTCCCCCTTTTATTGATTATTCATACTAGTGTGTAGGTACCTTCTCGTGTGGTTTCTATATTTGGTTATTATTGGTTTGTCATTTTTATTGATTGTCGTTCTTGTTTTACTTGGATTTACTTACTCTACACTAAAAGTGAAACATTCTCTTGCATTAGATCTTTCCATAAAAAGTTTGATGCTAAAGTCAATTATTCGGACTGATAATGGAACTAAGTGTACTGATGAAGAATTTGTTCTTATTTTGATGAGAATAATATTCATTATCAAACCACTTGTGTGAGTACTCCTGAACAGAATGGTGTTGCATAGCAAAAAAATTATTATTTTCTAGAGGTTGTTCGTTCATTATTTTTTACTCTGAATGTTCTAAATATTTTTTTTTTGAGAGGGGGGGGGGGGGGGNTTAGAAATGGATGAATATCGAGATAACTGTCATAATTCTCATATTGAGAGATTTATGTGTATTTGAGATTAAATTGACCATTGCAACTTTATTGAGAAAATTAGTGCTCTAAAATTTTACTCAGATGTTGATTGTTGATATTTTCCGCAAATAATGGCATGACCAGATCTTCTAGTCCTTTTATTTTCTACTCTTCATGATCTGGTAGAGGGATAAAGTAAGAGTGACAAATGGATCTTTGTCCTCTATTTCTAGAAAATGTTCAATTAATTACTTTTCATCAATGTCCCTCGCATCTGCCCTTCATGTTCTTAATTTCTCTACTAATTTACTATCTATTACACAATCCTTAAATTGTTTAGTGACATACTTCCCTACTTATTGTATCTTTCAAGAACTGTAGACAAAGAGACTAANGTTATAGCTTGTATTCAAGCTTGGTGCCAGAGGCTTGTATCCAGCTACTAGAGCTTTATATTGCAATTAGAAAGGGTGTTCAAGCTAGTACTCAACACCCCATCTTTAATTTTGTCTCTTATAATTCTTTATATTTATCTTTTTATGCTTTTGTTTTCTCATTTTCTTCTATATCTATTCTTCAAGGTTGGAGAGAAGCTCTCGCTAATCCTAAATGAAAAGAAGCTTTGGCAGNGCTATAGCTTGTATTCAAGCTTGGTGCCAGAGGCTTGTATCCAGCTACTAGAGCTTTATATTGCAATTAGAAAAGGTGTTCAAGCTAGTACTCAACACCCCATCTTTAATTTTGTCTCTTATAATTCTTTATATTTATCTTTCCATGCTTTTGTTTTCTCATTTTCTTCTATATCTATTCTTCAAGGTTGGAGAGAAGCTCTCGCTAATCCTAAATGAAAAGAAGCTTTGGCAGAGGAAATAAAAGCTCTAAAAAGAATCGACACATGAGAGTGTGTTCGTTGTCAAACAAGTTAATGGGACAATAGAGAGATACAAACCTAGACTAGTTTCTAAGAGATTCTTTTTTTTTTTTTTAATGTTATGGGATTCACTCTGACGTATGGCATTGATTATCACGACACCTTTGCCCCTGTGACAAAAATGAACTCCACACGCCTTCTTTTCTCTTTTGCAGCTAATCTAGGTTGGAGTTTACAATAATTGATTGTGAAGAATGTCTTTCTTGTAGAGATTTACAGAAGGAAGTGTATATGGAGATCCCACCAGGTTTTTCATGGCCAGTTAACTGAGGGAAGGTATGTAAGTGGACAAATTCTCTTTATGAGCTTAAATAGTTTTCTAGAGCTTTGTTTGATAGGTTTCTTAAAGTCATTCTAAAATTTGGATATAAATAGTCTACACTAATAGCACTTAATGATGAGCAGGAAGTCACCAAACTTAAAGCTTCATTGGCTAAAGAGTTTAAACAAAAGAAATGAGTTCATTGAGATACTTTCTTGGGATTGAGTTTGTTAGATCAGATTAAGACATTTTTATCTCCCAAATGAAGCATGTTCTTGACCTTCTTGAATAAACAGGCATTTTGGGTTATAGACTTCCAGATTTCCCTATCAAAGCTAACCATTTCGATTGAGTGATGGTGTTGGTGATGCAGTAAATAAGGAGAGATATCCAAGATTAGTCGAAAGATTGATTAATCTCTCTCTTACGTGGTAAGATATTACTTTTGCAATAGGTGTTGTCAGTCAGTTCATGCATGATCCTCAAACTTCTCATCTTAAAGTTGTTTATTGTACTTTAAGATATCTTACGTTAGCTCAAGAAAAGGAACCCTGCTCTCCAATCACGACCACTTGAAGTTAGAAGCATTTACTAATGCAGACTGGATAGATTCACTAGATAATAGATGTCCTATATCAACTAATTGCACATTGATAGGGGGAAATCTTTTCACTTGGTGGAGCAAAAAACAAGCAATGATAGTTAACTTTAGCATAGAGGCTAAATACAAATCAATGGCTCATGAAATTTGAGAGTTTATGTGGCTCCAAATCTTACAAGGACTTACGAGACTATATTGTGATCATAACGTCGGTATCTACATTGCTCAGAATCCAGTTCAACATCATAGAACAANCGGGTAGTGATTCATGATGATGGACTTACGAGACTATATTGTGATCATAACGTCGGTATCTACATTGCTCAGAATCCAGTTCAACATCATAGAACAAAGCATATTGAGATTTACAAGCACTTCATCACAGAAAAACTGAACAAAGGTTTAATTTGCATACCCTTTGTGAAATTAAAAAATCAATTAGCCAATGTTTTCACAAGGTGCTTAGATGTTTCACCTCATTGTTTGTAAGTTGAGTATGAGGGATGTCTAATGCACTAGCTTGAGGGGGAGCGCTATGTTCTGCTTTAGATATTTGTGTACTTGGTATTTATATAAAAGATAGAGTATAGTTGTGTAACCTAACACACTACTCTCTACATAATATTTTCCTTCATTTCTCATCTCCTCTCTCTCAAACTTTTCACTCATCCTATTAAGGAAATTAATACTCTGAAATTTTATATGGATGTTAATTGTTGATATTTTCCACAAATAACGTTCCCAGGGAAGGGGGCGCTAGTGTGTGTGTGTGTGTGTATATGTGTTTTTGGGTTGAATTGGATTGGGTGCAGGGGATATGGGATTCATTCCTTTTTATAAAATATTGCGCAAATCCAAGTCCGCAAGCCCATCGAATAGATAGCTGGTAGTGAGTACTGGTCAGGTTACCAAGAATATGCTTCCGGCCATCTCTTGCTTGTAGGAGAGCCTGCCTCATAATTTGTAACGTAATTCCTCCAACCTGACAGGAAAGAATGAGCTGCTGTCAAAATGTGCGGCCACCAGTAATGTCTCTGACCATGGCCATGAAACAGAAACAGTAAACTGTCTGCCAGAAAACAAAGGACTATTTTGGAACCAATCAAAAGAAACAAAAGTGCTTGCATGACCACCCACATATTAAGCCAAACCTTTATATCCATCTGGAATGCGGTTATACCATCACCATTTCCAGCAACCTGCGGTGTTAAAATTACAGATTCATTCATCAAAATTTTCTGCCTTTGGGACTCAGTATGGCATACTAAGATTTTTGTACTACATCTTTGATATGCATACTTTTATGTCTTCCAAAATGGTCAGTCAAAAATAAAAGAGTACATAACAATGAAAGGTTATAAAAATTCAAGCTAATAAGACCTTAAAATCCATATCACCAGATGCATCTTCTGCTCCAGTTATGTCAGAAAGGATAAGCGGGGTTCCATCTCCCCCAAATTCCTTAGTGTCCAGAACCATACCCATTGCTATTCCAGCAATAGAGCACTTTACTGGCACCCCAGCATCTTGCAATGCTAAGCATCCCGCACAAACTGATGCCATACTGTTACATGAAGATACCAGATGTGAATATGCAAGTACTAAACTTAAATCACTTACCAAATGAATTAAAAAGCCATTGCTAGAGAAGGAGAAAGTCTTTTTTTTGGGTAAATATGAGAAAAACAAAAGTTACTGAGTGCAGACAATGCACATCAGACCTCTAAGTAACTTTCGAAATACTATCTACCACACACGCGCACGCACACACACACACACACACACACACAAGCTGCTTGACCTTGATGAGCCGTTGCTTTCAGTGATGGTACTCTCAACACGTATAGTGTAAGGAAAGTCTGCTTCAGAGGGTAATATAGGCGCAAGGGCTCTCTCTGCAAGCATTCCATGACCAATTTCTCTTCTACTTGGTGCTCCCATCCGTCCAACTTCCCCGACACATGATGGTGGAAATGAGTACTGCAAAAACAAGACAAAGATTATGGGACAGCTGATGAAATAGACTCCTTGTCAGAAAATTAAGAGAATTCTTTGGGAAGAAAGTACATGTGCGGCCCAGGTACGAAAATAAAATTAGTCAAGATGAAGATGGAAACGAAATCACAAAACATCATTGAATTTTGTTTATTTCGACATTCACTGTTGTAATTGCTTAGAGTATCAACATACTTCTTTCGAGTGTCCAAACAAAAAAAAAAAGACAAAGAAGAAGAAAGGTAAATCCAAAGTTTATTTTGACATTCACTGTTGTAATTGCTTCGAGTATGAACATACTTCTTTCAAGTGTCCAAACAAAAAACAAAAAAGGTAAATCCAAGCAATCATGTCAAGAAATTGATTGGATCAATATTAGAGAAACAAGGTTCAAAAAGTGTATCTCAAAGGAAATTACCTAGTGCACAATACTAGATATCTAAGATAAGAATAATTTAGGTAAGAAAAGAGGACTTGAGACAATTGTATCTCATGTCAAATCACAAAACCTCTAGATGACCTTAGGTCTAAGGATCTCAAGAAATATTTAGGTATTAATCCTATTGGTTGAGTCATCTTTGACATAGCCTAGATTAGCGTTGCCTAAAGTGTGACGCCCCTAAAACCGGGGGTCTTTTGTCAACTCATTGATCACCTATTAACCTGCGAAAATACCCTTGAATGCTGTATAACCCGACACCACGTCACAACATCCCTTTTACCGAGATCACGATGACTCCAAGATTGGGTAAAGTCTCCCTTGTACCAGGCACTCACAATTGTCTAACCTATGTGCACATCAATCATATAACTCATCTGAGGTCCAATATACCAAAGTTATCAAATCGTGTATCGGAAGGCGTATCGTAAGATACAAATATTGTATCGTATCGTGTATCGTAAGATACGATGCAATTTTAAATAAATAATAAAAAAATATATATACCTTTGAAAAAAAGTCATACACTCATAAAAAATATAGCATTTCATTAATACTCCACCAACTATTCAAGTTATCAACATAATCCACTACTATTATAATGCAAAGTTCACAACCATAGTTCACTAATTCAAACTTTAAACACCAAAGAGACTTCTAATCCAAATTTCTAACATCCATTTTGAACTCAATCTTCAATTTCAATTGAAAATGCATCATCATCATCATCATT